CATGTTTGAAGAATGGTAGAAGGGGAGCATTAGGGGAACAATTAGACATGCTATTGTTTAGTTTTGGTCCATAAGCACACAAAGCTTTCTGCTGCTAAAACAAAATTATCTAGACCATCCTGAAATGAAAACACCTATGGGGTGGAAGAGGCTCTCTCCATGTCCTACTTCTCTCACTATCCCCTGAAGCTCTATGTGCCATTTCTCTTCCCTTTAACTTGATGGTAGTAGAGGATGTAGTAGGAAATGATGTAGCTTCTTGCCACTGTTTACCTAGCTAAGGGGCTTTTCTGTTTGAGGGCAGCTCCTCTTTCATCACTGCCTCTCCTCTCCCACCAAATGTGACGTATTTCAATCCCCTGGGAAGCCCAGGTTGATCTATACAAGAAAAGCTTTACCAGCAAGCCCATCCTCCCAGTGAATCCAGAGAGTCTCTTTGCTCATTCTCGTATTGCCTTGTTCATTCTCATCTTTTGATTTGCAAGTTGCCACTGAGTCTTTCATTTTTAATCCTAAAAAGACACAATGAGAGCTGCCTGGTGATAAGGGCTGTTAGGGCTGTTTTGCAACCAGCCAGCCAGTGGAGAACATAGCCTCTAACATAACTTCAACCATGTCTCCAGAAGTTTGGGTGGGAAGTGCAGTTCCTTAGTAGGATTGATGGAAAATCTGCAAATACTATCAAAATTAGGGGCAAATTAAGGGTGAAGGCAGGCAGTAGATATAATACGTCCCCCTAGAAGAGAGAACATACTCAGAAGTTCAGAGAAAATGCTGTCCTCGAGGGTTTAAAAAGACTGAATATGAGATGCCTACCATCATTCCCCTTCCTGGAAGTATCTGGGAGATGTGAAACACTGTTACAACATGCTGACATCCCAACGATATTAATTTCACTTCAGAAAAGTGGAAGGTTTGCATCACTACTATTATTGCAGAGCAATTTGAGCGGCAACTGAGAACAGAAAATACATCTCTACATAGAAAAAAATCCAGATACCCAGACAGAGGGAAAGACAAGCTGATGGTTCCCCACTCTCACTCCTGATGTCAGACTAAAGAAACTCAGAGAAAGCTGATCATTTGTTAAGGAATTCCATTAAACAAATGGGAAAGCTATACAGTGTTTATCTTTAGATGCTCCCTGCTAACAGTATGGTTAGCAGCAGGTTTTTTTATAGGCCTGTTCCTATAAGGTAAGTACACACTTTCCCTTTCCTCTTAGTTCAGCATAACTAATGCTCTGCTGTTTTACTTGAATTGTCCATGACCACATGCCAAGTGATGAAGGATGAGATATACATCAAGATGAAATAAATGTTTTCTCCTATCAACATCATCATAACTTGCACTCCTAGAACAGAAGATTGTCATACTACTGCTTCCTTTAGCCATTGCCTCTTGCTGGACACATTCTTTTGAGGTTGGAATGGGACTCTTCACTTCTCCGTATTTCAGTAACATTCTACATTTGCTTTGTTTTCATTAAGGCACAAATAAAGCAAAGCATAAAAGTGAACATCCTACCAAGTGATCCTGCCTTCTCTGCTCAGAGGAGCAAGCAAAAAGTTTGTATAAAATGATCTCAGTATAGTAACCTTCTTTTCTTGAAAAGAGCCTCATGATATGCTACAGTGTCTGTTGGAAAGTTATATAATTATTGTTCTATATATTTCTCCTCATTCTTCTCCTCTGAAAAGCAGCACAGTCCAGAAAGTCATTATGGAGTCAGCAGATCAGAACTGGTGGGTTACAGCTTAGTATTTACCTGAATGTACAGCAAGCTTCTTCTCTTCCAGGAAAGGAATAGGCAATAGTTTTGCTGCACTTAGAAGTCTGTTAAATATGCTAAGCTGACAAGCAAAGATTCTCTTTCAATCTGGACACCTTTGTCAGGAGACACGTCAAAATAAGAAAATGTCCCAATTCCCAAATACATATTTGAACCAAGACACAGATATGCCTAATTGCTTAGGAGTATGGTTCAGCCTACTTAAGAGGCTCCAAACTCCCCTAAGCTTAAAGTTGCTGGAATCCAGGGTCTGGATGCAGATTCATCCTTAGGTGATGAATATCTCTAACCCTAACCTTCAATCCGAAGAAACTTCGTATTATTTGGTATAACACTATTTTATGCAAAGTCATTTTCTGTTATAACAGAGAATCACCTCATGGACAAGGAAGGCAAAACACCTATTTCATTTGAAGCAGTGATCCTCCCCTGCCCCGCACTGTCAGACAGGCTGGCCTCCCAAAGGAGGGAGAGTTAGGAAAGTTAGGAAGGAGAGGTAGGAGGGAGATTAGGAAACAAATAAGGAGGAATTTTAGAAAAACTCTGGTAAAAATTTTGAAAAAGCTGGAAGAGGATTTATTCAGACGCTTGCCTCTTGCTTTCTTGGATAATCTCACTAGCGAAGGAATTGTTCCTGTTGTTCTAGGAACTGCATGATGTACCTCCTTTCAGAGCTGACCTGACTGACCTATTCCATTCGACCTTCCTGTCTGTTTTGCCATGCAATTTCTATTTATCTCCCCCATCATAGCCAGAGCTCCCACAGGATGTTTTCCCCTGTTTTCTTGGATATTTTCTTCATTCTTTGTAGAGTATGACATATACAACCCAACTACTGTCAACAAGAAGATACTATTGTAGATCCAAACATCTGTGGCTGGGTAGTACAGAGGAAGTGTTCTCTTATTTCACACCTTTGCTCCTGGCACTGCTTGCTTTCTTCTGGTCCTAACATGGACTTATTTGTTTGTTTGTTTTCTGTAAACTTTCTCTGTGGAGGCCTACACTACTCTCATAACAATGGGGACTTGACTTGGCCTCCTTCAAAAACTATTAGGAATGTTCTTTTAACAAGCCAGATGGGCAGTTAATCATAAAGGCCACAAGGTCACAGAGGATAAACACAGGGAAATATATTTTCTTCTTACTCACAGAGATGGAAATCAGAAGTCACATCTGATGGTATGCTAAAGGAGACTCAGATTGTTGGTCTCAGCAGCATTCCCAACTCCTGCCAGCTCCTTGTGAAACAGGGACTAGATTAACCAATGTAATACAATGGTGCAACAGTGTTTGCCCTTGAAGCTGAACCACTTTAAGTGAACTGATGCAACATTTAGATAGACAAACCTGTGGTGAGTGAAAAAGTTTCTCCCTCCCTTCACTTTCAGTCAGACTTACCAATCTATTAGCTTAAGTCTGAGGCATGACCACTGGTAGATTTGATTAGGCCATGAATAAACCAGATAGCACCCAGAACCACCCAGATATAAGCCTTTACAAATGGCAACATGAAGTTATTTGGGATTTGGTCACTGCATGTCCACCACATGTTGGGGACATTTTTAACTATAGCACTAGCTCAGAGAGGTTTAACAGTGTAGTCACAACAAGAAAGGTATTAGCACAGACTACAAAACCCACCCAAAGAATGTGGGAAATACTTGTGTGGCTAGCTATCTTGAGCTATGTGCAGCCTTTGCTAATTGGCTTCAGAAGGGCTTAGGAATGTCTACAGGAGGAGTTGCCTCATTCTGAGTTCAGATCAGTAGTTGCCTTCACGTGAGCAAAAAGAAGGCAAGTTTTAGAATATTTTTGCATAGAAAAGGGGAGTGGGTCTGGAAAAAGACTCTCTGCTGTGTCTACAAGCTATATGCCAAAAGACCAAAATGCTTTACTCGTATGAACGTACCTTGCTGCAGCTTCACTGAAGTCAATAGGTTTCTGCAGGAATACAAGAGACCCTACTGCTGATCAGTGAATAGGCCTGGGGCACAGTTTAGTTCTTGCCATTGAAATTTAAGGTTTAGATTTTAAAAACAATGATTTTGAAATGAATTTGGGCACTGAAATCCCTTAAGTTCCTCTAAGAAGTCGGGGCTGAAGGTTGTTTAGTTAGTGAAACAATCCTTTCTGCAGACCAGCCCTTTGTCAGACCTTTTTCCACTTTGTGACTTTTCTCAGGACTCACAATCATTTGAAATACTCAGGTAAAATGGGGCAGAAGGAAAACCAGCTGGTTATAATTTTTCTCTCTCCCCCCGCCCCCACATTGTTTTTAAAACAAAACCTTCCACAGAATTATTTTTAATGTGGCTGAAACTTTTCAAGGTTGTTTTGTTTATGTAAAAATGGAAGAAAACAAAAGGTACTGTTCTGTCATTTCCCCTCTGCTTTACTAACAGAGAAATAAAAATGTGAACTATCCCAGGCAGTTTCCAAACTGATTTCTTCTGTTACTTTCCATCAGACATACTTTCTATTTTTTAAACTAGCTGTAAT